CTACTTTACAAACAAAACAGGTAAACTTCTCTGAACTAAGGATCAGAGACGTGCTTTAATTTCCTTGACACGTGGTCTCTCCTTTGCACTTCCAGCGTCAATGTTGTAGATTGTGGTCTGCACGAATGTATAAAAATTGCAAAGAGCTCCATCACAGAAGAGACTGAAGACATAGTGAGCTTTAAACAGCCCATCAAAAGCTGCCACTGATGACTGAGCCTTGCATGGGATAGCCTTTTGGTCAAGGATGATGCGGAACCTTCTGATTTTGTTCTTTTGCTCACCAGTGCAGAGGAGGAAGGGTTGCCTCGCTTCAGCTTGCTCAAGGAAGGTAGTGAGACTGGCTCCTTCCTGTGGCCATAGGGCAAATGATGTTGAGATTAGTTCAAGTAGTGTATACTCAAACAACAAAATAATAATTTTTTTCTGTTAAATGGCACAAACAAAATTTACTTTCGCTTTTAATTAAAAATTAGCTGCAGCTCATAAATTCCTAAAGATATTTATTTCTGACACAGAACCAAATTCCGGTGTCTACAGAAACTAACCTTGACATACCTTAAGATATGGCTTAAGATACAAGACTGTTTGCAGCTTGAGCCGAACTGATTTCGCTGGTTTTTTATACCCTCTTGACTTTGGGGAGAGAAGATGCAACAGCAAGAGAATTGTTGACATTTCATTATCCCATCCTAGGGACAAACTGTATATGTTATCCAAATAAAAGTAGGAGTAAAAGGCAAGAATACATCAATTTCTTAAAATAAGTTTTAAAACAGACCAAAGCTGTTCTCAGGTTCAGTCTGAAGTGCTGAAAGCAGCTCCTCAAAATACGCATTCGGGGAGAGACTCCTGCAGTCAGCAACAACTTTAGGCTTGGAACATCTCATCTCCAAACATCATGGAGAAATTCTACTCAGCACTCTAATGCATGAGAATTAATTAATAAACACTCACATATTCATTTTTAGAATATAGATCTTGTAGATATGGAAAAAGAGTCATGATTCACAATGCATGATTAGTTCGTACACTTGATGGTGGAATCCTCCTTAGAAAACATTGCAAACATTACAAGCAATTTTCAGTGCTTGAATCCTTAATCATTTTAGACAAGTGCAGGTTTTAAATAATGTTTAAGTACAGATTTTTATGAATTCTTACTCATGTGACTCTACTATCGCTTCTGCCACCAGAATGTAAACCCTCAGTTTTCGTTTTACATCTGTTAGTGTTTTGATTTTATCATACCCCAGGAAGATTCCTTCACCCTTTGGATTATCCTTCAGAACAGTATCAACCATCTGCCAGAATAGTACAACATAATGGCATGGAGCCAGAAGACACAACGTTTATAGCCCACAAAGAGCACACTTATGTTAGCACATAGAGGATTGATAAGAGAACAGTGTGATAGTTAATATTTGTTGAAAATTACTTTCTAAAGATTATTTTTCACAAGTTTGACTTTATGATACTTTTTAAAAATAAAAATAATATAAAAATTCATATTTAATTCATTTAATTAATTTCTCACCATGAACATCTGAAAAATGTAATTGAAAAGTCCTTCACTCAAGTGCATATGTGCATTTGTTATGGAAAAGGAGTCACGATTCACAAGCCATGAGTAGTTCGTAACATCGTAGTTCGTAGTTCGACATAATGGCATGGAGCAAGAAATCATTTCTTTGATGCTCCCAAAGAAAGAGTACACAACTGTTAAAACCATCCAAGGTGATTTGAAAAAAAAAAAAAAAAAAAAAAAAAAAAAAAAAAAAAAAAAAAAAAAAAAAAAAAAAAAAAAAAAAAAAAAGTTCAATATTTACCATATTTTACTTTAATATTACTTCACTAAGAATGTCAATATATTTACGCAAAGTTTACCTGTCTTGCTTCATCTCTATCCATAAACCCTGTTGGACTCCTTTCCCTTCTTGATTCCAGGATAACTCTAAAATCTAATTAGTAAATGAGAACAGATTGTAACTTTAAATGCACTGGTTTTGAAATGATTTCATAATGACCATGACATTAAAATTCTAAATCTATCAAACATCACTGTTTTCCTGAATATTGTTACTTATTACTAGCTGTCCAATAACAGACCTTGAAGGTCAGGGCACCTGAACTCACCAGAGATGTCTGTATCTATTTCTGTTCCGGACTCATCAGTTAAGGAGCTCTGACCCTCAGTCAGACGTTCAGGCTGCAGACAAAATTTTGCTGTTACTAACAGAATGGGAAAAAGCACACGCATTAAGTGACATCTAAAGCTTAAAGCAGAGACTAAATAGCAAACTAAATACCAACTTTCTTGACGAAATCTGTCTTAATGAAAGTTTTCTTCAGTCTGTGGACTTTTTTACATACTTCTGCTCTCCTCCAAACTCAAAACTTTAGGCAGCATTTCCTGAGTGCATTACCGTACATTTCAAATGAGCTATTTAGTAACTTTTTATAAAGCAAAATACAAAATGAAAACAGACCTGAATAAAAATGGAGCCAACGTCAAATCATCGTACGCATTAGTTGAGAGGGAAAAAAACAAGAAGGTAGCTTCTGGTCACTGCCGCTACTGTCGTAGTCAAAGCGCAGATGTTGAATTAGAATAAAATAGTGTCAAATTACGCGTTTACAAACAAAACCTTAGATATATCTATCGCTGAAATTTAACAAAGCGTATAGTTATTGTCATAAATTTTAGATCGTGGATTTGCAAGTAGAATTTCTGCCTAATGCATATGATCTCGGCTACCGCATTCATAGTAAGAAACTACTTTTATAATGTAAACTCAATGTAAGTTACAAAATAAAAAATAATACTACAACTTACAATTGTTATTGATCGATTGAAAATGTAATTAATCAACTTTTACTCACCGTTCACTGTGAGAAAAGAATGGCTTGATCTTGGCCTCCAAATTCGATATGGCGCGCGTTG